TAACGCAGTAACGTCATTTAATTCCTTTCTCTTTTTTTAATTGCTGCTTCCATGAGTGTTGATTATGTGTCCAAGTAAAAGGAAATCTTTTCCATCTTTTCTCTTTATCATCATGTTGATTTTTGGTCCACTTGTGAGGGTTTTTGTTTTGGTCCACTTGTGAGGGTTTTTGTTTTCCTTCCATTGAGATGTAATCCATACTGTAGTCTTTGCTCTTCATCCATACTGTAGTCTTTGCTCTTCATCAGTAAATGGCTCAAGTCTGTTTCACTTTCAGCAAGCAAGGTTGTGTCATTTGCTTAACGCAGGTTGTTAATGAGTCTTCTTCCAATCCAGGTCTTGTGTTGTCTTCCTGTAATCCAGCTTCTTGGATTATTTGCTCAGCATACAGGTTGAATAAGTATGGTGAAAGAATACACATTGACACACACCTTTCCTGATCTTAAACCAGGTAGTATCTCCTTGTTCTCTTCCAGTGACTGCTTCATAGTTTATATATGGATTTCTCATGAACACAATTAAATGTTCTGGCATTTCTCTTATTCATAATGTTTTCCAGAGTTCGTTATGATCCACACAGTTAAATGTCAATAAACCACAAGTAAATATCTTTCTGGTATTCTTTGTTTTCAGCTAAGATCCATCTGATGTCAGCAATGATAACCCTAGTTCCATATCCTCTTTTGAATCCGGCTTGAATTTCTAACAGATCCTCCTTGGTGCACTGCTATAACCATTTTTGAATTATCTTTAGCAAAATTTTACTTTTGTATGATATTGTTGTTGTTAAGTGCCGTCGAGTTGGTTCCAACTAATAGTGACTCTGTATAGGTTTTCTTAGGAGCAGCTGGTGGATTTGAACTGCCTACCCGTGGTTTGCAGTCCAGGGATGATCCTGTAGCTTCACACCAGAAGTCTGTGTTGTTGTTGTTAAGTGCTGTCAAGTTGGTTCTGACAAATAACGACCCTGTGTAGGGTTTCCAAGGAGTAGTAGCTGGTGGGTTTGAACTGCAGACCTTGTGGTTCAAAGCCCATTACTGATCCTGCATCGCCATACTGTTACGTTTTTTCTCTGGTCCCTCTTACTCTTGGGAGGGTGGTGGTTCTAAAGAATTAGTCCCACCGAGTTGCTGCTTCTTAGTCACATACGAACAATAAGCATTCACTTAGAATATCTTTATTGCAATAAAAGTACGCTTCAGAGAGAGAAGCGGGTCTGTCTCCGCGAGTGGAGTACACCTGGTAGCAGTAGGGAGCATAGATTAGATTAGGTCAGAGCGAAAGTACACTTCAAAGAGAGAAGTGGGTCTGTCTCTGTGAGAGGAGAGGACCTTTTGGGTCCGGTGCACTGGCTCATAAAGGTATGGGGTCCCTTTCTCAAGGGGTGAGCTAATACATATTAATAAGGAGAAGTAGTATGATGAACAGTCGCGTTTTTTATTGTAGACGGGCGCAGGCTTCTTGGAAATGGGGCACCTTCTGCAGTTGTCAGCTTTAGGTGCTGTCTTCTTGGGTCATCTACCTGTGACCAGCTACTTCTATCAGGGTTTCACGTTCTGATATCCCTGTCTCTGTTTCCAGGCTATTTTTAGTGTTATCTTCTTGTTGGACTAGTGATGTCCTCTGGCCTTTCAGGGGAAGCCATGGTAAGACAGGCCCTGGGCCCCAGGGGTCCTAACTTGTCCCTGACAATACCAGGAATCCTGTTATTAATGATTGTTGTTGTTGTTAAGTGCCATTGAGTCAATTCTGACCCATAGTGACCCTGTATAGAGTTTCCAAGGAGCAGCTGGTGAGTTTGAACCACCGACCTTGCAGTTCAAATGACTTTGCAGTCTGGCGCATTAACCCACAGCACCACACCATGACTCTGATATTAATGATTGTATTCAGTAATTTCCTCATTTTATGGGTCACCTTTATCTTTGGAATGGGCACATATATGGATATCTTTCAATCGGTCAGGTAGCTGTCTTCCAAATATCTTTGCAAAGATGAGTGAGTGCTTCCAGTGTTGCATCCATTTGTTGAAAGACCTCAGTTTATAGTCTCTTAATTCCTGGAATCTTGTTTTTCACCAATCCCTTTATTGTTGCTTGGACTTCTTCCTTTATTGATCAAATGCTACCTCCTGAAATGGTTGAAGGTTGACCAATTTATTTTGGTGCAGTGACTCTGTTTAGTCTTCCCATTTTTTGATGCTTCCTGCATCATTCAGAATTTTGCCCATATTGCATCTCAGTTCTCTCTGCTTGAGAAATTCTGAGTGTGTTCTTCCCTTTTGGATTTATGACTCCATATCTTTGTATTTCATTATAATATTTTACTTTCACTTCTTGAATTGCCCTTTGAAATCTTCTTTTCGGCTCTTCTACTTCAACAATTCAGTTTGCATTGTAATTGTTATTAAGCACCATCAAGTTATAGTGACCGTGCATAGGGTTTCCAAGGAGTGGCTAGGTTAGCAGTCCAGTGCTATACCAGGACTCAGTTTGCTTTAGTTACTCTGTATTCAAGATCAAGTTTCAGGTCCTCTTCTGGCATCCCTTTGGTCTTTTCTTTCATGACCTTTTGTTTTCTTCATGTATGATGTTCTTGATGTCATTCCACAACTCGTCTAGTCTTATCATTACTGTTCAATGCATCAAATCTATTCTTTGGATAGTCTCTAAATTTTGTTGGAATATACTCAAGGTCCTGTTTTGGATCTCATGGACTATAATCCAGCAGTTGATAATAATTCCAACTTCCCCACATGCTCATCAACATTTGTTATTGTCTCTTTGTTCTATTGTGTTCAATCTTAGCCATCCTCGTGGCAGTGAAATTATATTTTATTGCAGTTTTGAGTTGCATCTGTGTGATGGCTAATGACAAGAGCATTTTTTCATGAATTTTGTAGCCATTTGAATGCCTTCTTGTTGTCATGTATATTCAGATGATTTGCCCATTTTATGATTGAGTTATTTGTCATTTTGTTGCGAAGTTGTTGAAGTTGTATGTGGCTTCAAAAAGTTTGCGGCAAGATGTAGTTAAAAGATAATGGAATTTTCCCATGATCTCTGAAGCACCCTTGAATATTTTGTTTTGTGGGTTCCTATTGGATATGTAGGTATCCTGGTGTGGCGCAGAGGGTTAATGCACCAGACTGCAAAGCCGTTTGAACTGCAAGGTTGGCAGTTCAAGCTCACCAGCTGCTCCTCAGAAACCCTATACAGGGTCACTATTGGTTGGAATCGACTTGATGGTGCTTAACAACAATAACAATAACAATTGGATATGTAAGGAGCTCTGGTAGTGTAGTGGTTACGAATTGGGCTGTGAAACACAAGGTCAGCAGTTCGAAACTACCAGCTGTTCCGCAGGAGAAAGATGAGGCTTTCTGCTTCCCGTAAAGATTTACAGCCTCGGAAACCCTGTACAGGAACGCTATGAGCGGTTCCTACTCCAAGGCACATAACCATCACATTGGATATGTAATTTCTAAATGTACTCTTTTCTCTGTTTTTTTTTTCATTTTTTTGTCAGGTCTTTTGATGAACAACACTTTTTAATTTTTATGAGGTCCCATTTATTTATTTTGCTTTTTGCAATGCATGCTTTTGTTATTAGGTAATCAATCCATTGCTAAAAGCGAGGTCGGACAGCTTTGCACTGAATTTTTCTTCTAAGAACTTTATGCTTTTAACTTTCACACTTGGGTCCTTAATTAATTTTGAGTTTGTTTTTGTGTGTGGTGTGAGGCGTGGATCCTGTTTCATTTTTCTGCATATGGAAATCTAATTTCCTAAACACCATTTATTGAAGAAGGGTATATATACTTCATTGTGCTTATCCATTCATCAGTTGATGGGCACTTGGATCATTTCCAGTTTGGTTATTGTGAATAATGCTGCTGGGAACGTTTGTGTCCAAGATTTTTAGTATATACTTGTGAGTGGAATCGTTGGGTCATATGAAACTGCCTTGCAGTTCAAACTCACTAGCAGCTCTTCAGAAACCCTATGAGTTGGAACCAACTTAGTGGTACTTAACAGCAACATCATAACTATGCTTAGCTTTTTTAAGTCTTGTCCATCTATTTTCCTCAGACAACATAAGAGGATTCTAATTTCCCCACATGCTGACTGACAACAGTTGTTATTGTTGTTGCTTTTATTGACTAGAGCCAGCCTAGCGGGTGTTAAGTGGTCTCTCACTGTGGCTTTGACTTGCATTTCCTTGCTCATAATGATGTGGTGCACAGCTGTATTTTTTAACTGGGATTTTCAGTGCACTTCTCAGACCCTGTGCTCCGTGCTGGGAACATACTGAGGAACGAAGCAGCTACGTTCTCTGTCCCCTTGGAGTTTACAGTTCCCCTGGGAAGATCGATACTAAACAAGTCATTGCCTTTAGGGTTTTCATAAGGAATTATTAGAAGCATGGCCCCTTAGTAAAATTTTGGTGCTGTAGGATCAGTTCTGGATTACGAACCACACAGACAGCAGTTTAAATCCACCATCTGCTCCTCAAAAACCCTATACAGGATCGCTATGAGTCAGACCCGATTCGATGGCGCTTAACAATGATAATAAATTTCAGTGATTTAAGTCTTTTCTATCATCATTGGAGACTAAATTGCACTGAGTAGGTATTTAAAAATATTATACATGCAGTTTTTGCAGTTTATTTTAATAATACATCAAAGGAAAAAAAAATGCAAAAAAATGTTTAAAGAAAAAGGTGGAACATTCCTTGGCTCTCCACTCCAACCCTTAGCAGCTTGTTTGCTGTCTGTAAAGCCTTGTCGTATTTTTGCACACGTACAGCTTCGTATCTCTTAGAGAATTTTGACTAAATAAATTACTTTGCTAAACGAGTTTTAACTGCTTTTTGTGACCAGTGATATTACTAGTTATACAGGTTTCTGAAGGAGGACAGGATTTTACTAAATATTGCCATAAATGCCCACAGGTTATCAGTCCTCTTTGTGCTGCTTGCTTCCCTTTGCCCTGCAGATGGTCCCCATCCCGGCAGGAGTGTTCACGATGGGCACAGACGACCCTCAGATACAGCAGGATGGGGAGGCTCCTGCCCGGAGGGTCAGGGTCGATGCCTTCTACATGGATGCCTATGAAGTCAGTAATGCTGAGTTCGAGAAGTTTGTCAACTCGACAGGCTATTTGACAGAGGTAATGGGGTTGGGGTGTGGAAGGAGAATGTGTTCCTTGCCAAAACTTAAAAAAAAAAAAATGCTTTGATTAATTGCTAACAATAACAACATGGATTGCAGGATAAGCACTGGGCCTCAAGGTCAGTTTGAACCGCAAGGTCGGCAGTTCAAGCTTACCAACTGCTCCTCGGAAACTCTATACAGGGTCGCTGTGATTCGGAACTTGACTTGTCAGTGCTTAACAACATTGACTGACCCTCTTTTTACTTTGTGCCTGTGACAGCTAAGCTCTTTAGGCACGTATTTTATCTAATTTCATCAGAAGCAACCCCAAGAGGCAGGTTTTTTTTCAGGTAGGAAACTGAGGTTGAGAAAAGCGATTTGTCCTCAGTTATATGGGTCGGAACTGACTTGACGGCACTTAACAACAACAACAACAATCCAGCTGGTTAGTCAAGCTGGTGCTCAGGCCTAACTAATCTGGCCTCAGGATCTAGGTTTTTAACCAGTAAGTTCTGTTGTGTTAATGCCTTAAAATGCCAGGGAGTGTCACTGTTCAGTCAGGCTTTTAGAGATAAGAGATAGCATGTGAAGTCAGGTGACTTTCCCTGCTCAGTAAATTGTAACTTGGTTGTTCAGAAGTATTTACTTCCTGGGCAATAAATGCAAAAGTGTGGCTTTTTTATGGGTGGGGCTTTATCTCAGTGCCTTGATGACTTTAATAATAAGCCCTCCCGGTCACAGTTCTAGGTTTTGTACGATGGACCATGGTGGTAGAATCATAAAGCCAGATTCTAAAAGGGAACATTTGTCCTAAATGGGAATGGGAAGATGGAGGCTTTTGAGTTTCTGAAGGTTTCTGAAGCATACTTGTTTGGTAGGTTGCTCTCTTTTTCTCACGTGAAGACTTCAGCCATGCCTTCAGTTTGTGAAGTCCCTGTTCTCTCTGCTTTATTTGTTGTTGTTGTTGTTAAGTGCCATCGAGTCGGTTCCGACCCATAGCGACCCTGTACAGGGTTTCCGAGGGTGTAAACTTTTACGGGAGTAGAAAGCCTCATCTTTCTCCCGCGGAGCAGCTGGTAGTTTCAAACCGCTGACCTTAAGGTTCGCAGCCCGATTCGTAACCACTACGCTACCAGAGCTTTATAAGGACACATTTATACCAGGTTCCTGAGGAGTCTACATAAGATTGAAGAAGAGTTCTAGATGAAGAAGGCTTCTATAAGCCAGCGTTTTCTAGGATGATTAAATAGAATAAACAGAATTTATGAGTCCACTAGCATGGGAAGGGAAAACATTTCATCTTGAGTTTCACTAACCTATAACTGAAACTTACCATTTCCTTCAATTATGAAACGCAGACAACAAACCATAGTCATAGTAGCAGTATGCTGGCGTGGTGCTATGGGATGAAGCACTGGACTGCAAGGTCAGTTTGAAACACAAGATCGGCAGTTCAAACTCACCAGCCACTCCTTGGAAACCCTACACAGGCTCGCTATGTGTGTGAACTGACTTGAAAGCACTTAACAATAACAACAAATCCTACCTATGACTTTGTCACCAATAGAAATCACAGATATTTTCATATATTTGTTGTTGCAGATATCTTGAAATATCATTTGCACCCATCCTTACTGTGATAGTATGATACTCCTGAGAGCTGATGCTAGATTTTATTATATTAATACACAGCATATATGTGCACACATAAATAACTATAGCACAAATTTCTTTTACTAATATTTGGGCATAACTTTCTCTTCAATTGGTTTCCTTTGTAATCCTGCCTTGCATATGAATAATATTTCCTATTTTTTTGGCACCTTACAGTTTTTTTTCTGCCTCTCCAACTTCATTTTACTCTACGTTCCCCCTTCTCACTGTATTCTAGCTCTGCTTCTCTTGTTTCTATTCCTTGAAAACTTTACACTCTCTCCTGCCTTGGAGATATGGCCTATATTGGCTCCTCTGCTCAAAATTCCCTGCCACCTTCCCTGTCCCACTTTACAAAGTTGTGCTCTTCTCATTCTTGAGTTGTCTGAGCTCATGTGTGCCGTGAAAATGCTTCCCCTACCCACTCTATAAGGATATCTAGTAGTGTAGTGGTTACGGATCAGGCTATGAACCACAAGGTCAGCAGTTCGAAACTACCAGCTGTTTCGTGGGAGAAAGATGAGGCTTTCTGCTCCCTTCAAGATTTATAGCCTCGGAAACCCTGTACAGGGTCGCTATGGGTCGGAACCGACTCCACGGCACACAGCAACAACAACAACAACAACCCACTCTTATCTAAAGGATAGTTTTCTTGATGCTCTTTTACTGTACAGGGTGAAGTCATGTTGTAATTATTTTTTTCCTTGATTTATTTTTTGTTTGTGTTTCTGCCCGTAAGTTCTGTAAAGACAGGGACCAGGCCTATCTAATATTCACCCGTATCACCATTATAACCCGAAGCCAAGCACATGTTTGTATGGTCCGTGTGTGGTGAACGAAGGAATGGCTGACATACTTGGGCATGGTGGCCACAGGGAATACGGGAGCATGATCCTGGTGAAAAAAGATGATGTCCTCTGTTTTGGACAGAGTTTGAGGTGTTATGAGGCTTGAACTAGAGGTGCTGTGGGTTAGGCATTGGGTGGCTAACAGAAAGTTTGGTGGTTCAAACCCACCAGCTGTTTCCTAGGAGAAGGTGGAGGCTGTCTGTTCCCACAAAGAGTCACTGTCTTGGAAACCCTGTGTAGTAGGGCAGCTGAACGATTCCACAGAGATGCACTGTCTTGGAAGCCCTGTGTAGTAGGGCAGCCGCAAGATCCCACAGAGACGCACTGTCTCGGAAACGCTGTGTAGTAAGGCAGCTGCGAGTTCCTACAGAGAGTCACCGTCTTGGAAGCCCTGTGTAGTAGGTAGGGCAGCTGCGAGTTGGAATCGGCATGATGGCAGTTGGTGTGATTTGGTTAAGGCCGCTTGAGTTATGTTCTGCTAACGGAGACACTGGCGATTCAGACTCGCCCCACAAGCCTTTGCGAGACAGAGCTGGCAGTCTGCTTTTCTAAAGACTACATTCCGCTCTGTGACATGAGGTCATGATGAGTTGAAATAGACTCAATTACACCCAACAACAACAAGTAGACATTGAATTTTATGTTGCATTTAGCAACTCTACAGCACAAGACCGCTTTAAAGTGTTCAAGAGCAAAGATGCCAGCTTGAGGACTAAGGTGTGCCTGATCCAAGCCATGGTATTTTCAATAACCTTGTATGCATGTGAAAGTTGGACAGTGAATAAAGAAGACCGTAGAAGAATTGATACATTTGAGTTATAGTTTTGGAGGAGAATATTAACAGTACCATGAACTGTCAAAACGAACAATCTGTGTTGGAAGAAGTACAGCCACAGTGCTCCTTAGAAGCCAGGATGGCCAGACTTAGTCTGTCATACTTTGTCATATATTGTCAGGAGGGACAATTCCCTGGAGAAGAGTATCATGGTTGGTAAAGTGAAGGGTCAGCGAAAAAGAGGAAGACCCCCCTCACTGAGATGGATTCACACAGTAGCAGCAGCAATGGGCTCAAGTGTAGAAACAATTGTGAGGTTATCACAGGACCAGGCAATGTTTCCTTCTGTTGTGTATAAGGTCGCTATGAGTGGGTACCAACTTGACATCTAAAAACAACAACTACCACAGTTTTATCTAGAAAGACAGGACTGGACATAGAGCTTCGAAAGTCCTTTGCAATGCTACTGGTAAAAAGATGAGGTTGAAAGAGGTTGTTCAGTAGCAGATCAGTGTGTATCTCCAACTGCATTTCTCACACCACCTTTATTTCCATAACCAGCTGTGCTGTTTATACGTGCAGTTTTCTTAGCTTCATTTGAAACCCTAAGAGTCAGAATCTCTGCAGTGGGAGGCAGGAAATTAGTTTTCACAAGGATGATCTTACCTGTACAAAGCCCGAGAGCCACTGGTGTAGGTCAGGAGAGTAAGAAGATAAGCGAGCCAAGGGCAGAGCTCTGGGGAGAATCACTGTTTTAGGAGCTGGAATAAGAATCCATCTGTTTTAGTAGACAAGTAGGAACCATGAGAAATGCACGAGGAAGCTAGAAGAGTAGCCTTCTGGAGTCACGGAGACTAAGGGGCAAGGGTGGGCATTTTCAGAATGGGGTCATATGCAACAAAGACAACCAGGTATATGAGAACTTGAAATAGTTCGATTAGATAAAATCATTAAAATGTATACATCTGTCTGATGCTTGAGTTTTATAAGTCCAGCTTACACACCTGAGTGGAATTAGAATGTGTCAGGATATCAGTAAACTGTGTCATTTAATTCTTGTAGCTCAATTTCAGCAGCAGAAAAAGGGCAGAGCTTGATGGTCTAATCTCTCATGCAGAGGACACTGTTATTTTCCAAAGTCCTTGGTAATACTTGGGTAGATATGCTTCTATCAGCAGGAACAGTTAGTTGCTCAGAAGCGAATCTGTTCCTTTCTGCATTTTTTACTAGCTGAATGAGTCTTAAGTGAAATTGGTCTCTGTAAGTGACATAGAATTGTTTTAATAGGTAAGTCAGAGGTTAATTCATTTTTGAATCCTTTGGGAAAGCATACAAGAAACTAAATCCTGTAGGTATACAAGGAAAATGGCATATATGAAATGTGTTTTAATAACCTTCTCTGGATTTTTATTTCCTGTCTTCCTTATAGGCGGAGAAGTTCGGTGATTCCTTTGTCTTTGAAGGCATGTTGAGTGAGCAAGTGAAGACTGAGATCCAACAGGCAGTAAGTCATGTTTAAAGAGGATCTTCTATGTCTCTAGGACTGATTAGAAAGAGTTTGGGTAAAAAATCCCAAATACAAGGCCCACCCTTGTCTTCCCCCTACAAATGAACCACTCTGTTGCTATGAACTTGCACAGAGCAACAGCCGCATCAACCAGTGCACCTCAGGGTGAGGAAAATAGGCCAAGTCCAGGATCGTACCTGAAGAAATGTTGAGCTTTCTGAGTAGCACATTATGTTCCTAAGTAGACCGACCCTCTGAGTTTATTTCTACTGATAGTTGTTTCTAGAATGGGGGATTCAATGTGAATTAAAAAAAGATTTTTTACACTTCTAAAAGTCTAAAAGACTTAATCTCATCTGGAGCTTCCTGTGAAACATGAAATCACTTGATCAGAGACGTATTCATGCGGGCCTTTGGCGCTCAATGTCCGTAACACGTTGAACCATGGAACTGGTTTTTACCATCCAGTCACGGAGTCCCCAAACTCCAACTGAACCCTGTGCTGCCAAGTCTGTTGCCACTCATAGTAACCTATAGGACAGAGTCAAACTGCCTTATAGGGTTTCCAAGGCTGGAAATCTTTACGAAGCAGATGGTTTCATCTTTCTCCCTCAGAGCAGTTGGTGAGTTCTACCTGCTGACCTTTGGATTTGCAACCAAGCACTTTAACCATTGCACCACCAGAGAACCTGAGTGGATCCAAGGAGTATGCTTCAGATATATTTTTCTCAGAAATCATGGAAACAGTGGACTTGGTTTCTATAAACACCTGTGTGTTGGGTGGAGCTAGTGTGCCCAGAGACTTCAGTAGGTTTTTGTTCATATGTGTGTTTGCTTGTATGTGTGCCTGTGAGAAGGCAGACAGGTAAGAACAATGAAAGAGGAGCCAGGATGAACTGGGCAGTTGAGGGTTCACAAAACTAAGCGGGCAGGAATGCAAAGAGGCAGAGGAAAAGAAATGGCCTTGGGGAAACATTAAAATACGAACATTAAAGACAAAGGAACGGCATCCTAACCTTCCTTTTGTATACATTCTCTCTTTCCACCTCTGCCTGTTAACTCATCTTCATGTGTTGACGGCATTCTCACCTCTGGGATGAGTTGCAGTATCAGAAATATTAAAGTCCTGGCTCATGCGTTTTCTTTTCAAAGTAATGTCATGGGACTTGGGAGGAAAGGATGAGGTAAAAAAGACTTGATTGCAGATCATTGACAGGAGAATCAGGTCCATTTTTGTATTTGCTGTAGATAAACATTTAAAAAATGTGATGCACTACATTTGCATATCACAAGCTTTTATTCCAAATCGGTCATAACATCTAATATATACTTAAAAAAATTTTTTTTTTAAGGGGTTTGAGGTCAGTTCAGGTTGGTCTCGATGAGCTAGCTCCTCAGGATGTGGTGTCTTGTTTTAGGATACGGTGTCCTGAGGGAGGACACCTGTACCTCTTTGTGTAATCTGTGCTTTCAGATGGAGGGCCTCTTGTCACCTGAGAGTCTCCAAACACATTAGGCATAAAGGCCAAGGCCGATTATTGCTAGGCTCCACAGGTGCCCTGTTATGTACACAGTGAAGTGCTCTGCTTGTCATTAGGATAAGGATAAAGCAGCTCTTACCAGATGGTGCTGTGGCTCACCCGCTTAACTGCTCATAATGGAAAAGCAAACCTTTTAAGTATGTTTTGAGAAGGTTGGAATACATAAAGTGAATTTGTTGATGATCTGTGTTTCTCAGGCCTGATTTAACCCATTGTTTCCAGAAGTGTAGGACCTGAGATGGTTCATGAGACACCTGTAAGTGGACAGGAGATGACTTTGGGTAGTTGATGAACAAGCAGAAAGTAACAGTGAATTGCAAAGTTCCCTCTCTAGGTCTCCTCTAAGACTTGGTTAGCTTAAGAAGAAAGTCTCATGTGGGTGTCTGTAACGTGGGAGGAAGGGCTGTCTTGTAAAGAATTACAGCTTCAGAAGAGTGAGGGTGCAGTACCCTGTCCTGTCGGGCCGCTGTGAGTCAGACCCGACTTGGCGGCACTGGGCTGGATTGATGTCATTAATGTTGTTGTTAAGTGCCGTCAAGTCGGATCCGACCCATAGCTACCCTGTACAGGGTTTCCAAGGCTGTAAATCTTAATGGGAGCAGAATGCCTCATCTTTCTCCCACGGAATGGCTGGTAGTTTTGAACTGCTGGCCTTAAGGTTCGCAGCCTGTTTTGTAACCACTACGCTACTAGAGCTCCTTGATGTCATTAATAGCCTGCACCATTTGTTAGTCCCCGTGTTAAAATAGAGAACATGCCTCAGAAGTTTCTTCAGACTACTGTAGCTGGCCAAGAAGATTTAATACGACTTTGTTTTCGTGCAGTTTTTTTTTTCTTAACTTTTTATTGTGAATTAAGTAAAGGTTTACAGAGAAAGAGCATCAGTTTAAAAAATACAGAATGTTTTACGAATTTGCATGTCATCCTTACTCAGGGACCATGCTGACCTTCTCTGTATCATTCCAATTTTCCTGTAGGTATTGCCAAAGCGAGCACTATTTCCATGTAATTAAAAAAAAAAAAAAATCAGTAGACTATTATTTAGAGCAGTTTTAGTTTTACAGAAAAATTGTTCAGAAAGAATGTTGTTGTGAAGTGCTGTCAAGTCGGTTCCGACCCATAGTGACCCTGTATAGGGTTTCCAAGGAGCAGCTGGTGAACTTGAACTGCCAACCTTGCAGTTCAAACGGTTTTGCAGTCAGACTCATTAACCCACAGCGCCACACCAGGACTCAGAACTGTATTCAGAAAGTTAGAGTATTCCCATATGTCCCTCCTCCACACAGTTTCTCTTCTTACTGATATCTTGCAATAATGTGATACATTTGTTACAGTTGATGAATTACAATTAATATTTTAAATTCACAGTTGACCCTTTGTGTCAACTTTGGGTCAGATAAATGCATAATGTCATCATTATAGTATCACACAGAATAGTTTCACTGCCCTTAAGATGCCCTGTGCTCTACCTCATCATTGCTCCTCCCTCGGCCAACTTAGTCATCTGTGATGTTCTAACTAAAAACCACAAGTGGGGGGCTTTAGCTTTAGTAAAAGTGTGTTTTCCTATAGTCAGTAGTCCAGAAGTCCAAATTCAGGATGTCAGCCCAAGGGGAAGACTTCCTTTGATTGGAGGCTCTGGGGGAAGGTCCTCATCTCTCTTCAGCTTCTGTTCCTTGCTTCCTTGGAGATCTCCATGTGGCCTGGCATCTGTCACCCCATCCCTGCTGGCTTCTCTGTGCTTCAGCTGCTGATTTTTGTCTATCACCTAGACTGACATGGTCCATTAACATAACAAAGAAGTCCCCATCCCAAATTATATACACAAGTATTGTTGTTATAAGTGCCATTGAGTCCCTTCTAACCCTTAATGACCCTGTATAGGGTTTCAGAGGAACAGCTGATGAGCTTGAACCAACAACCTTAGGTTCAAACCCACTTTGCTATCCAGCGCATTAACCCACAGCACCACACCAGAATTCCATCCTCAAGTATAAGGGTTAGGGTTCACAGTTCAAAAAGGGTGGAGGGGGCACACATTTCAATCCATAACATCACTGTGCTCCAATCCTGATTTTTTTTCTGACTCCTCTAGTTTCTCATTTTCTATAATGTCATGTAATTAGGATTATACAGTATGTAACTTTTTCAGCCCGACGTCTCTCACTCAGCAATATGCATTTATGGTGTCTTTTTTGTGGTTTGATAGCCTATTTCTTTTTATTGCTGAAAAATACTTCATTGTATGGATTGTTGTCATTGTTAAAGTGTCATCGAGTCAGTACTGACTCCTAGCAACCTATGCACAGCAGAACGAAACACTGCCTGATCCTGGGCCAACCTTACTACCATTGTCACTCTTGAGTCCATTGATCCTGCCACTTGGCCAGTCCATCTCGTTAGGAGTCTTCCTCTTTTTCTCTGATCCTCCACTTTATCAAACATGATGTCCTTCTCCAGTGATGGTCCCTCCTGACAATATGTCTGAAGTATGAGAG